AGGCATGTGCCAAAGCAAGGTATTCGGGGGGAATGCGCACGGTGGAGGCATTGTCTGTACTTTCCACCGTGGTCGCACCAACTGAAACAGCTAGACACCTACCCTGACACTCTCGCGACCACCCCGTGAGAGCCCTCTGCGGCCATGAAAAGGTGGGGTTGTGTAGTGCTAGCCAGGGAAGGCCCAACACAACAGGGAAATCAAGGGACTCAATAATATGAAACGTGATTTGCTCATTATGGGTCTCCTGCGTAAACATAGTGACTGGTGCGGTAACCTCCCTAACAAAACCTGACCCTAATGGTCGATTGTCAAGTGCTTTGACGGGCAATGGAATAGACAGGGGAACCAATGTAATACATAGACTAAGAGCTAAAGACCTGTCAATAAAGTTCCCAGCTGCGCCTGAATCTACCAGCGCCTTACACTGGGGAACTATGTGTAATCAGGAAAGTTGACGTGGATGGTTAAATGCGCAGCAGAGTTTTCTGAATGAGTGTGGGCTTATGCTACCTGGGGTGACGCGAGAGTGCCCTGCCTGCCACCTCCAGAACCAGAAGACATTGTGCAGCAGAATGTCCTCTTCTGCCACAAGAGTGACACTGGATCTGTCGTCCTCCGTTCTCACTGAACGATGCACCACCCAGCTCCATCTGAACGTGAGCCGGGGTGAGGGGGGGTGAAACGGGCAGGCCCCTTCCACAACGTCCTCTTGAAGCCAGCAGGTTGTCCAACCAGATGGCCATGTCCACCAGTTGGTCGAAGGTCAGAGTGGTATCCCGGCAGGCTAGCTTCCTTCGGACGTCCTCACGCAGGCTGCATTGGAAATGGTCAATGAGGGACTGCTCGTTCCACACGGACCCAGCCGCTAGGGTTCTAAACTCCAGGCAATAAAAGTAACATAATGCTCAACACGAGCTAGCGACACCTCCACATGGAACAATAACACACAAAGACATGGGGGAGCAGAGGGAATAATTATACAGAGACTGATGAGGGGATATGTACCAGGTGTGTGTGAAAAACAAGACAAAACAAATAGAATGATGAAAAGAGGAGCGGCAGTGGCTAGAAGGCCAGTGACGACGAACGCCAAAGCCTGCCCGAACAAGGAGATGAGGCAGCTTCGGAGGGAGTCGTGACAACTGTGGTTGTCTCACCTAGCTATCTTAAGATGAATGCACTTACTGTAAGTCGCTCTGGATAAGAGCATCTACTAAATGACTAAAATGTAAAATGTAAATGTTTTACATACATATTACTGTAATGAATTAATTAATCAAAAAAATATACATTATATATATTGATGTCACAAATGTATCATTTGTAAATGTCTTTGTTAAAAATGTAGTTATTTGTTACATTTGACTCTGAAATATTTAGCAAAAAAACATTATTTGTGTATCTGAAATGAAACCATCAAGTGATAGATGTTAAACAAATACATGTCTGTCATTGAACAACCCTTGATTAGGTAGTGAAAAAAACACACCAATATGTTTCATAATTTATTTTAAAAATAAAAGCAAATTTACCAACATTTCTGAAAATGGATATATAGCGTTTTGGAATGAAACTTCAAATGTATGTGTGTCCCGCTGAAATATTCAAATCCATAGCAGCACGCAAGAATGAGATTAAGAAATGCCTGCAACATTTGCATAAATGAATTTGTACTGTTGATCGTTAGGAGTAAGATACCGGCATCATATTTAAACTCCCCAAATAACATTCGCGCCATATGGAAGCCAAGGCCCCATATGTTTAGAATCCAACCCAAATGGCGACATTATGCTGTGTGGCGATAGATGTCTGCTCATTATCATTAAGGATATGTTTATATTGCAGGGCTCGTGCTTTATCATTTAGTCACTTCTGCAATATCACTGGTGTTTTTACCATCACTGCTCTGGTTAAAGTCAAGTCATGATGACAAGATTATGATCCACTATGTTGCAGTATAGCATTACAATCTACTGTATACTGATCCATTGACATTATTTTCAGTCTTAGGCCAATTGTGAAATGGGTTCCAGTATGATATGGTGGGTCTGCCACATGCAGGACAACAACAAAGGAGTGGGCTCAAGCAGATCTGGCATCAATTCTCACACTATGTATCTCCTTCAGAGGAGTGACATGGTTTCCAATGTGATGAGGTGGATCTATTACAGTAATAATGTGCCTGTTTCTCTCTGTCACAGTATTCCTGGGAGTGACCAATCTGAACACCTACCAGGTGAGGATGAACAGCATGTGTGCCCAGTGGAGTCCCCACCGCCACGCCACTCTGTACCGTGTGGTCATCGAGTCGCTGCTCAGTGAGTACCCAGCACCACACAATCACATACACACATACACATCAACTTGCCCTGTGCCTTTTGAACCAACAACAGTTTTTTACAGTATTGAGCTTACTAAAAGCAAGTCATTTGTCATGGCAGCACAATATCCACACCCTCTCCTTGACAGTATGCCCTTACTTCTGTGTGTAGACGTACACTGTACAGTACACTATATGCAACCAAATCCACATTGGTATTCCCACACACTGACACAGAGCCACTCTAGTGGAAGGAGGTGATTACCATGCGGCCACACATCTCCATGTGGATAAGGCTGTCAGCTCCCCCCTAAAATCCACATGTGATCCCGGTCAGGAATTATGCTCCTGGCAGGGAATCTCGGTTGGGACACGGAAACCTGCAGGGAGGACGATTCACTTGTAATCCCGACAGGGATTTCACACTTCCCCAAAAGAACTGTATAAGGAACTGGGGGATTGTCATTTGTAACAATATTCAAATGCTATGATATACCATGTTATATTATGCTATATTATATACAGTATAAAGCATGAGATATAACATCAATAGGGCAGACTGTACAGGTTTGGTAAAGGGGGATATTATTTGGGTTAGAGTTTTAGTTTAGAATCATATACATTAGGCCTACATGGCTTTTTAACAGGCGAGCTGAGTTGACATTTACATATCCTATGGTTAAATAAATGAACGTTGGCTAGCCAAGTGTGTGTGGGGACAAGATATACTTGTTATACGGATGACCGTAATTGCACCTCATTGCATCTTTTTGAAAAAGTTAGGATGAGAAAGAAAAACAATTGGGTTTCTTGTTCAACGTGCTCTGACGGGGAGTTACAGACACTTCTATTTCAGCTTGTAGTTAATTAGATACTGAATTTGCGTCAAAGCAGTACATTATTAGGCAAAACAATTATATTCAGGAAAATATTCTAGGAGTCTTTTACCTTCTAAGTCATAATTATCACTTCACAGACGTGAGACTTCCAACCAACTGTCAGTGTGGGTGGGTGTCTGGAAGTGAAATGGAAGTTGTTTTCAAAGGGATAGTTTGCTACTCAGTCAGTGCAGTAGTCTTAAAGGGATATTTAAAGTTTGTGAGAAGTTTTGAATGCCCTCAAAGTTGTCCATGTATCCATATGATTAGACGAAGTAAGTCCTATATTAATGAGAGAACCTGGCATTAATCTAATTCTAGCCAGTTAATGACATTCAATTCACAACGTATCCTAATATACAGTTAGCATATAGCAGGATCTATGCAACAGATGGCATGGAATATTTCAGCTATGGAACATTTAAAATGTCAATGTGTTATCAATGCTGTGTTGATCCCAATATGAGTATCATCTGCCAAATAGGAAAATAATGTGAGCAATTCATCAAGTTTAACACTGAGACCCAAACATCATTATTATCGTGTAGCGTTTCACACATTGCAATTTTGCAGCATTACCTTTGGGAGCTCCTGAAATATTAGATCTATCAGCCGGCATTAGGCCCAAATTAGGATTTATGATGGCTAGATAAATATATAATTACCCAAAGAAAATACCACCTCGGTGTATAAGGGAAAATGGCTTAAATTGAGGCCTTAAGGGGAAGGTTCCGAAATTACAATTCTGGGGTGAGAAATGAGAGCGCCACCTCCACATGAGACCTCATAATGAGATTCTACTCAGAGAAAGGCCACTGCTCGGGTTGCCAGATATTTGAATAACCCCCAACAGTTTGTGTAAGAGGCACAGGTCTTGATACATGTTTAAGACACAGCTTTAGTATGTTCAATAGGTGTTAATACTGTGTGCATATTCAGCTTTGTCCTTTTTGATGACTTAATACAGTGGTAGACACAGTAGTCATTGGAAATGACTGTAGAGGATGTGTTTGATATGAGGCTGTTATTTTGACAGAATCTCCCCACCTCCAAATTCTATGTATTAGGCAGCTGCATTGTCAGTGATTACAAAATATGTCAACTGTACCCTATAAAAATCAAGTTACAAAATCATTGTAGACCGCCTGGTATCATCCATCATTATGGCTGTCATAATACTAGTCCTCCAATTCAGAAGATGGTTGACTTGTGTCACTTGCTTGAAAATCTGATATTGGTATTCACTTGATGCTTAAAGAAATAGATCCAAACCCTGGAAGAGCGGTTGTACAATATAATGTGGACATCTTAGAATTGGAATTCATTACTTACCTGTACATTTCTATACTGAACATGCTCCTGCTGATGACAACAGCATTGATTATGATGGAAACCAGTGGTAAACTGAGTGTCCAAAACATTAAGAACACCTGCTTTTTCCATGACATAGACTAACCAGGTGAAAGCTATGATCCCTTATTGATGTCACTTCAATCAGTGTAGATGAAGTCGAGGAGACAGGTTAAAGAAACATTTTAAAGATTTGAGACAATTGAGACATGGATTGTGTATGTGTGCCATTCAGAGGGTGAATGGGCAAGACAAAATATTTAAGTGCCTTTGAACGGGGTATGGTAGTAGGTGCCAGGCGCACTGGTTTGTGTCAAGAACTGCAACGCTGCTGGGTTTTTCACGCTCAACAGTTTCCCGTGCGGGGTGCAACTCAATATTAGGAAGGTGTTCTTAATGTTTTGTACACTCAGTGTATATGTGATGGTGATTCTGTCTTCATTTTAGATGGACATAAACAGGAGGCAAGGCTGGGAGGAGGAGCCACCCGGCACTGCTTCAATGACCTGACAGCTAACACGCAGTACAAAATCAGTGTGTACGCCCAACTCCAGGACACAGAGGGACCTGCAGTAACCACCACAGAGAAGACCTGTAGGTGTCCCCCTCAACAGCTGCTTAGTATACACTCTACAACAGCCCTACAACCGACTTGCTACTATTCTCAGAAAGTATTCTTACAACATAGTGACAATGTTGTGACGACATAAGTTCCTGTCCGTCGCCCCCGGCCTCAACAGTCTAGCCCAGGGGTCGGCAACAGGCAGCTCGCGGGCCAAAACCAGCCCCCAAGTGATTTATTTTGGTGGCTCAAAGTTTTTAGTTAAAACAGAAATAAATGTTTAAATGATTCCCTCTAGACTGTAGCAACATTGTTACAACATTATCCAAACCGAACATACAGTACATCAACATGCCTTACAGACAATCACAACATACAATATTTTCACAACATTATTAGCCTCCTGGGAGGCACTTGAATGCCTCCCCTTGGAATGAATCATGATTGGGTCTGTGGCCAACTCACAACAGTAATAAAGGCACTCTCTCTAACCCACCAGGCATTTGTTTGCATTGAGTTGCTTTACTTCAAGTTTAGACACTGATTTATAGCTTTGTTTTGATGCAGATTAGAGCTAAATGACTTTTTAAATTACCCTGCGTTTCCCCAGGTGGCCTTGCAGGCTGCCATCAAAAGTAATTCCCAGTTTCATGTAGCTGAATTACTACGGCGGTAAAGTATATGCGGTTTTCGGCAGGGTTCCAGAGCTAGAAAAAAGCAGTACAATTCATTTCAATTTGACTGCCGTTGTTGGTAGTGATCAAGCTAGAAAATTACTGTATATGGGTATATATAATATAATATAATAATATAATAATATAATATATAATATAATCTAAGCACTAAGCATAAGCTACCATCCCTGAAAAATTATCTGAATTCCTTCTGATTCTTCTATCATCTGACTAATAATATACAGTGGGCTCCAAAATTACTGGCACCCCTGACTGGCAATGCACAAACAATACTTAAAAAAATATAAACAACATAATTATAGCGATAAACTCAAAATACCAACGTGAGAAATACTGTACTTTATTAATGTTTCAATGGAACCAACCAAAATCATACAGTTATTTAATACAAAATACATTTCACCAAAATCAAGGTTTCATAATTATTGGCACTCCTCGTTTAGTACGTAGTGCAACCACCTCTGGCAAGGATAACAGCATGGAGTCTTTTCCTGTAATGTTTGACAAGATTAAGGAACACATTTGGAGGGATTTTGGACCATTCCTCTACAGAGATCCTTTCAAGATCCTTCACATTCTTGGGTTTCTGCCGTCTTCAACTCAGCCCACAGATTTTCGATTGGATTGAGGTCCGGCGACTGAGATGGCCATGGCAGAACATTGATTTTGTTGTCACAGAACCATTTCTGTGTGGATCTTGAGGTATGTTTTGGGTCATTGTCTTGTTAGAAAGTCCACCTATGGCCAAGTCCCAGCCTTCTGGCAGAGGCAACCAGATTGTCAGCCAAAATTGCCTGTTACTTGGTGGAATTCATTATGCCAACAATCTTAACCAGTGCCCCTGGACCTCTGGAATTAAAACAGCCCCAAAACATCACTGACCCACCACCATATTTCACCGTGGGTATGAGGTGCCTCTCCTTGTATGCATCTCTGTTTCGAAGCCAAACATGCCGATGCAGTATCTGACCAAAAAGTTCAATTTTGGTCTCATCTGACCAGAGCACCTTCTTCCAGTCATAATTTAAATGACGTTTGGCAAACTCCAAGCACTTGCGTCTGTGTCTTGGGGTCAGAAAGGGCTTTCTTCTGGCAACCCTTCCAAAGAGCCTGTGGTTGTGGAGGTGGCGTCTGATGGTGCTTTTTGAAACCTGGTGACCCCAAGATGCCACCAAGGCTTGCAATTCTTTCACAGTGATTCTTGGGGATTTTGTTGCTTCTCTCACCATCCTCCTCCCTATGCTGGGGGCAAAATGCATTTGCGTGAGGTTTTCAACTGTTCCATATCTTTTAAATTCTTTAATACAGTGCTCAGTGGTATATTCAATCATTTGTGGATCTTCTTGTAGCCATTACCAGATTTATGAAGGTCTACGACCATCTGTCTCTTTTGAACTGCCAGTTCTTTTGTTTTCTTCATGGTGTTGGATGACAAAGGGATATTGCATGCATGTTACCTCATTTTTATACCCTAGTGAAACAGAAAGTGATGTAATGGCTCAATATAGTTCCTTAAGACTTAGATAAACTTAAATAAGTGTAATTTAATTCCTGGTTTAATTTAGGTAGATGTTATTTACAATCATCTTTAAGGGTGGCACTAATTGTGAAACCTTGATTTGGAGAACATTGATTTTTAATTAAATCAATAAATGATTTCGGTGGGTTCCATTGGAACATTAATATAGTACAGTATTTCTCACATGTTGGTATTTTGAGTTTATCACTATAATTATATTGTTTATATTTTTTTAAGTATTGTTTGTGCATTGCCAGTCAGGGGTGCCAGTAAGTCGGAAGTTTACATACACTTAGGTAGGAGTCATTAAAACTCATTTTTCAACCACTCCACACATTTCTTGTTAACAAACGATAGTTTTGGCAAGTCGGTTAGGTTAGGTTAGGTTAGGACATCTACTTTGTGCATGACACAAGTAATATTTCCAACAATTGTTTACAGACAGATTATTTCACTTATAATTCACTGTATCACAATTCCAGTGGGTCAGAAGTTTACATATACTAAGTTGACTGTGCCTTTCAACAGCTTGGAAAATTCCAGAAAATGATGTCATGGCTTTAGAAGCTTCTGATAGGCTAATTGACATCATTTGAGTCAATTGGAGGTGTACCTGTGGATGTATTTCAAGGCCTATCTTCAAACTCAGTGCCTCTTTGCTTGACATCATGGGAAAATCTAAAGAAATCAGCCAAGACCTCAGACATTTTTTTTTTGACCTACACAAGTCTGGTTCATCCTTGGGAGCAATTTCCAAATGCCTGAAGGTACCACGTTCATCTGTACAAACAATAGTACGCAAGTATAAACACCATGGGACAACGCAGCCATCATACCGCTCAGGAAGGAGACGCGTTCTGTCTCCTAGAGGTGAATGTACTTTGGTGTGAAAAGTGCAAATCAATTCCAGAACAACAGCAAAGGACCTTGTGAAGATGCTGGAGGAAACAGGTACAAAAGTATCTATATCCACAGTAAAACAATTCTTATATCGACATTACTTGAATGGCCGCTCAGCAAGGAAGAAGCCACTGCTCCAAAACCGCCATAAAAAAGACAGACTACGGTTTGCAACTGCACATGGGGACAAAGATCGTACTTTTTGGAGAAATGTCCTCTGGTCTGATGAAACAAAAATATAACTATTTGGCCATAATGACCATTGTTATGTTTGGAGGAAAAAGGGGGTACTTACAAGCCGAAGAACACCATCCCAACCGTGAAGCACGGGGGTGGCAGCATCATGCTGTGGGGGTGCTTTGCTGAAGGAGGGACTGGTGCACTTCAGAAAATAGATTGCATCATGAGGAAGGAACATTATGTGGATATATTGAAGCAACATCTCAAGACATCAGTCAGGAAGTGAAAGCTTGGTTGCTAATGGGTCTTCCAAATGGACAATGACCCAAAGCATACTTCCAAAGTTGTGGCAAAATGGCTTAAGGACAACAAAGTCAAGGTACTGGAGTGGCCATCACAAAGCACTGACCTCAATCCTATAGAACATTTGTGGGCAGAACTGAAAAAGCGTGTGCAAGCAAGGAGGCCTACAAACCTGACTCAGTTACACCAGCTCTGTCAGGAGGAATGGGCCAAAATTCACCCAACTTATTGTGGGAAGCTTGTGGAAGGCTACCCGAAACGTTTGACCCAAGTTAAACAATTTAAAGGCAATGCTACCAAATACTAATTGATTGTATGTACACTTCTGACCCACTGGGAATGTGAACTGGGAAGCTGAAATAAATCATTCTCTCTACTATTATTCTGACATTTCACATTCTTAAAATAAAGTGGTGATCCTAACTGACCTAAGACAGGGAAGTTTTACTAGGATTAAATGTCAGGAATAGTGAAAAAATGAGTTTAAATGTATTTGGCTAAGGTGTATGTAAACTTCCAACTTCAACTGTATGTTATGTTTGATGATTTAATCAATGTGGTATCTTCTGTGTGAAGCCATTTTTTTACTGTAAATGAAAGCTTCACCAAGCATGTTTGTCAGGTGAGGTGACATAGAAAACTAATAAGGATGTTATAATGATTTGTGTGTGTCTTATGTCATTGCTTTCATGCAGTCCCTGTTCCCACCCCGGCACCCACCAGGCCACCCACTACAACCCCTCCTCCCACCATACCCTCAGCCAAGGAAGGTAATGCAAAAGCCCTGTTGTAAACACATACCTGTGGGTCCTATTGTGGTGCACTCTTCTAAAAATTGGGTATTTCCACTCCTATCTGGTAGACTAGTACTGAGGTCATCAGTGTTTTAAACACTGATGCTTGGTTGGGCTGCTGGAGAGAAATATTTTAGGTCTGTATTGCGTTTAGTAAGCTGTAATGCTTTTGGTTTGGCCTCAAAGCACTTCATGTATCTTTATGGGGTAAAGGGAACTAATAGTGTCCTACACCACTGTGAACATCTACCTGGGTGATGTATCGCAGCAATTTTGCACTTGAATGCTCACAAGTCATCACCCATTGGCGAACAGATACTGTAGAGATATCCCCAATGATAGATTATCTACACATGTGGTGGGCTGGACGCAGTGCACGCTGACTCGGTCACCAGGTGTACGGTGTTTCCTCCGACACATTGGTGCGGCTGGCTTCCGGGTTAAGTGGGCACTGTGTCAAGAAGCAGTGTGGCTCGGTTGGGTTGTGTTTCTGAAAAAATGTGGTTGTTAATCATTGCTAGACAACCATTTTCAGGTCTTGCCATAGGTCAAGCAGATTTAAGTCAACACTGTAACTCGGCCACTCAGGAACATTCACTCTCTTCTTGGTAAGCAGCTCCAGTGTAGATTTGGCCTTGTGTTTTAGGTTATTGTCCTGCTGAAAGGTGAATTAATCTCCCAGTGTCTGGTGGAAAGCAGACTGAACCAAGTTTTCCTCTAGGATTTTGCCTGTGCTTAGCGCCATTCAGTTTTTTAAATCCTGAATACTCCCCAGTCCTTAATGATTACAGGCATACCCATAACATGATGCAGCCACCACTATGCTTGAAAATATGGAGAGTGGTACTCAATAATGGATTTGCCCCAAACATAACACTTTGTATTCAGGACAAAAAGTGAGTTCCTTTGCCAGATTTTTTGCAGTATTACTTTACTGCCTTGTTGCAAACAGTATGCATGTTCAAATGGATACTTCAGCATGCTCAAATGGATATTTCATGTCTGCTTCTTTTTTTTTTTACCCATCTACCAATAGGTGCTCTTCTTTGTGAGGCATTGGAAAACCTCCCTGGTCTTTGTGGTTGAATCTGTGTTTGAAATTCACTGCTCGACTGAGGGACCTTACAGATAATTGTATGTGTGGGGTACATAGATGAGGGTAGTCATTCAAAAATCATGTTAAACACTATTATTGCACACAGAGTGAGTCAATGCAACTTATAATGTGACTTGTTAAGCAAATGAACTTTTTTAGGCTTGCCGTAACAAAGGGGTTGAATACTTATTGACTCAAGACCTTTCTGCTTTTCATGTTTAATTAATATGTAAAAATTTTAACAACAAAAAATTCCACTTTGACGTTATGGGGTATTGTGTGTAGGCCAGTGAGAAAAAATCTCAATTTAATCCATTTTAAATTCAGGCTGTAACACAACAAAATGTGGAAAAACTCAAGGTGTGTGAATACTTTCTGAAGGCACTGCAATTTTGTTTGGTAAAAGGTAAAAGTAAACTAGAGAGCACTCAGAACAGGCAGGTACAATGGAAATCACTCTGTCAAGTTGCTGGGTCAATTTTAAACCGGTCCCTGACTGACATTCAAACCTCAAATGACTCCTGACACAAATTTGTGAATCTATTACACGTTCATATACGCAGTGTCTATTGCACAGCCATGACTATAGACGTCTGAAATGATAGTAAAGCTGTTTAATGGGCTTTTGGAATAATCACAAATCTTTTCAGACTTTCAAAAACGATCCCATATGAGCTTTTGAGTCTGAGATAATACCATAAGCTGGAACTTGTTACAGTCTTGTATCCTGAGTTTCAAGTCAGAATATCTCAGAGTTTACAATTCTCCAACAAACACATGCAACATAATATTATCTGAAGATATAACTTGTAGAACATTTGTAAAAGTTTAACTTTATTTGCTGTTTTTGAGAACAATAATCTTAGCAGTTTTCTTTCTTCCTACACAGCTTTCCGGGATGAGTCTTGAAATGTAATTGAAAACTCAGTCCCCTCTGTTGGAACTCAGACCAAGTCCATTTCCAAGCCTGTAATTCTTATTGTTTTATTATTGTTATTGTTTGCCTAGGAAACATAAACAAATGCAACTTTTAGTTCACTTTGCTTCCCACATACTAGCAACTTAGTTATTATCTTTGGTTCCTTTGAAAATGACAGAGCAGAACAACAAACAACAGGAAATGAGATGTTCTACTGGTCAATCTGTCCCTGGCTGGTCCTGATATGCGAGAGGGAAGTTGTTGAGATAATTGCCAATCATCGCAGCTCCTCTCTCGTAACCTGTGGAGAATGAGAAAGCTCTCTCCATTCTCCATTATGATTCTTCCACTGCTGCCTGTTGAGGCTAGAATGTGTGTTTATGTGTGTATTGTTCTGTCTTTCTTTGTCAGTTTGTATTATATATGCTGTCTATCAGAACTCTTATTGTAGGCACTGAATATAAATTGCTCTTGATAAGAGCATGTTCTAATTGCCTTGTAAATGTAATTGTCCTCTTCTTTCTCCCTCTGTCTCTTTCTCTGTGTGTATATAATTTTTTCTCACTCTTCCACTCTCTCCCCTCTCCTCCTCTCCTTTTCTCACTCCTCACCCGCCTCCCCTCTTTCCTCATCTCTCCTCATCCCTCTATCCCTCTATCCCTCTTCCTCCTCCCTCCACCTCCTTTTCTCTACTTCTTTCACTATCTCCTCTCTCATTCCTTTCTCTCATGCCAGTTTGCAAGGCAGCCAAGGCAGACCTGGCGTTCCTAGTGGACGGCTCCTGGAGCATCGGGGATGACAGCTTCCTGAAAATCATCCGCTTCCTGTACAGCACCACAGGAGCCCTCGACACCATTGGACCAGATGGCACTCAGGTAAATATTGACACCTAGACCAACCAATGGAGGAGGTCCTGTAGCCAGCTAGCTCTTACAGTACTGTACTACATCTTGGTAGTGATATAGTCAAATAAATTGTAATTAATGGTCTTAAAATGTATGAGGGTACACTTATGTTTGACTATGTGTCACCTGTGCTTTTATGAACAATGCCCCATTTTCCATTAAACTAAAAATATCTTTCTCCCGCCAGGTGGCCATTGTCCAGTTTAGTGACGATGCCAGAACCGAGTTCAAACTCAACTCCTACGACAACAAGGAGAGGCTGCTAGAGGCCATTAACCGCATCTCCTACAAGGGAGGGAACACCAAGACAGGCAAGTGGACTTTATAAAAGCCAAACCTTTGCCAAACCTTATTCACTCCCTACCAATGTAGAGTTTTCATACAATTACTCTGAATCATACATTAAGTTCCTATTTCTTTTTCTTAGAATTTCTAAAGGGACTCCCATAGCCGTTAATTAACAGGATAACTGAATCCCATTGAGACAGCTGTAGCCGCCAGATGAACAGAAATACCCCTTATTGACTTTCCTTTTGTAACCTGCCAAAAAAGAATCAGTCATTGTAATCAGACAGGCCAGAGTTGTCAAGCGTGGCTTCCGGAAAGCAGTGAGATACTGTCACTAATCAGTGTTTCTAAGTACCAAACCCAGGAACCCCAAGGAGAGAGATAATGCATTCTCCAAGTCATCTAGCAATGTTTTCTTTTTTTCAAACGTGTGCAACGAAGAAGTCCACTTGGTAATGATAATTGTTGCATTGTGTTCTGCTTTGATTATGCTGTATTTGTGTGTATAGTTGCAGGTGGGGTGGGAATAATAACTAGATTATATGTTGTTTGCTGAATCATTTGCAGTGATCGTGATAACCCAAAACCATAATCCTCTACCAAGTAACCTGGCTATATCCTGCTGTCAATATCACTGAGTGTAACTCCTTTCTTTATCTTCCCCTCCTCCCTCTCTCTCTCTCCCGTCATCCCTCCCTTCATCCCTCCTTCTCTCTTACTCTAGGTCTAGCCATCCGGCATGTGAAAGACACCATCTTCACGGTGGGGGGAGGGATCCGGAGGGGCATCCCCAAAGTACTGGTGGTTTTGACTGATGGGCGCTCTCAAGACGATGTCAACAAGGTCTCCAAAGAGATGCAGATAGAAGGTGAGGCACATGATGCGAGAATTCAATTGAATAGTACATGAAAATAACATTCTACAACACAAAAAAGTATCTGTATATGTTAATCCACCAAAATGGTATAGATTTGTATGCACATTACACACAATTGGCAATACTGTATGCTTACCTTCTTCACAGGGTACATTGTTTTTGCCATTGGTTTTGCGGATGCGGACTACGGGGAGCTGGTGAGCATCGCCAGCAAGCCCAGCGAGAGACACGTTTTCTTTGTGGACGATTTAGACGCCTTCAAGAAAATTGAGGAAAAGCTGGTCACCTTTGTTTGTGAGGCTGCCACTGCCAGTGAGTCCTACAGGAGCGTTAAAAAAAATCTCAATCTAAATCCATGTTATTTGAAAACGGGGGGGGGCATATTATTGTGTCTATTATTATCCATGGAGTTACATAAATGTTTTGTCTTTCAGCTTGTCCTTCGGTGGCGATGAGTGGCAGTACCTTGCCAGGTTAGAGACTGGAGCATACTTACTTATATAACACTTCATGCCTCCTGGCATATAGGGCACAGTCAAGAACTCTCTCCTCTCTGACCCGTTGACTAGTTCCGACCCCAGTAGAACTGTTATGCACAATATCACTGTAAACTGGACAGGTACAGTACAGTTCACTCAGATAATTGCAAACTCTGGACTCTGAAGTGCCAACCCATACCATTAACACTGCGTAAAATGGCCTGTTTCCGAGTGTGTACTAGTAAATCAGAATATCTTTAATAATAAGAAGTAGAAGCTCAGTATTGAGAAGTCATGATAAAAACAGAGCCAGTCACATATTATTTTTACTTATCAGTAGTCAACTGGATATATCTGCTTTTAAACCAACTCATGGTTGTTTATGTTGTGGCTGCAGGTTTCAGGATGATGGAGATGTTTGGCCTGGTGGAGGGTCTGTATGGACGTGTATCAGGAGTGTCCATGGAGCCTGGCACCTTCAACAGCTTCCCCTGCTTCAGCCTGCACAACAACTCCCTCCTCGCCCAGCCCACCAAGTATGGACACTAGCATCTTAACTAAAAGGCATTACAGCACATTATCTTCCATCAATCATGTAGAATTTAGTAGGTGCTCTTGTCCAAAGTGACAAAACGTCAGTGAGTACAATGATACAGGCTGCTTAACACAAGTACATGACACTTCATAGGACCTTTAAGACAATGTATTTAAGTACTGGCAACACTTACCCAATGATAACATAAACATCACCTTATAGCATACAACTAACCCTACTCCCCTGAATTGAATCCTCTTTTCCTGTCATGTGGCCTGAAAATGCTGTTATTACAATGAAGAGGTGGTGATAATAACAGACAGCTGGCCTCACCTGGTGTATTTCCTCTCCTTTATCTGCAACAATCCCCACAACACATCACAGAAAGCATAGTGATTTTGTGTTTCATTCTCAAATTATAATGCAGCAAATGTGGTCCAAATACAGTATGAAGAAACAATAGCTTCCTGCTCCTAACCTCTCTTTTAGAATTGAATTACACTATTGAAATAATTTAATTGGCAAGTTGAAACAGCTTTTGAAATGGTTTCTAATAACAGTTGAACTGTGAAGGTGCTACAACAAAAGCCATTGTATGTTCAGACTAGAGCCTATTGTTCTGTGAACTTTCCACCCCAGGTTTATCCACCCCGAGGGCTTGCCCTCTGATTACACCATCACCATGCTGTTCCGCCTGCTGCCTGAAACCCCCAAGGAGCCCTTTGCATTGTGGGAGATTCTCAACAAGGACAACGAGCCCCTGGTGGGCGTCATCCTGGACAGTAAGTAGAATGCCGGGGGACTGGCCTGGGACTTAGCTGGGACCGTGTGTCAAGTTCCCACTGTTTGGTTGCTGTCACAAGAGACACAAAGCAATGGATATTTATTTATCCAGGTGTCTCTGCTCATTTATCAATTGTGAGCAGCACAAACATTTTCTCAATGTAGGCTACATTTTCAAAAGCTATCCCATTGCTCAGATTGCACAATGTCTACTAAACCCTCCATGCCTCCTCTATTTGAAACGAGAACATTCCTCACTATATTCGAGTTGTACTGTATACTGGCAAACGTTCTCTTTCCAACTCTAGACGGTGGCAAGACCCTCACCTTCTTCAACCACGACTATAAAGGACAGTTTCAGACTGTGACCTTCGAGGGACCTGAGATCAAGAAGCTCTTCTATGGCAGTTTTCACAAGGTCAGAGTTCAAAAGCACTCCTTGTTGTCTCACTTCCTCAGTGCAAACGCTGCTACAACATCACCCTAACACCTCAGTGAAGGTCCTGCTTGCTGGCTATAAGTCAGCTTGTTGAGTGATGTTAAGTCACTCTTGTCTGGCTGTCAGTGTAGCTTACAATACCTTAGGCCTGAGACATGGCTGTAGACTCCTATGTTCTCAGGGCTAACAATACCTTTGCCCACATGCATGGCCTGCTGCTCAAGTGAATGAGGATATGCTTTTTCCCTTCACTGGCACAGTTATCTGATAGTGTATTCAGGTCAGCCACTTGCCAATGTCATAATCATCCTCTGTCTATGAATGCCAAAACTTTGCTTGGTAACTGACATTATCATCCATGAGTGAGATGTAGGCCTCCTGTAGCTCAGTTGGTAGAGCATGGCGCTTGCAATGCCAGTGTTGTGGGTTCGATTCCCACGGGGGGCCAGTATGAAAAATGTATGCACTCACTAACTGTAAGTCGCTCTGGATAAGAGCGTCTGCTAAATGACTAAAATGTAAATGTAGCACCTGAAACAAACACCTACCTTTTTTGGAGCAGTTTGTAAATCACTTATGTTTTGACTGTTCAAATTGTTTAAACTTTTTGGCTGCACAATAGAAGTAGTATATGTCATTTAGCAGACGCTTTTATTAAATACAACTTACAATCATGCGTACATACATTTTACGTGTGGGTGGCCCCAGTGGGAATCGAACCCACAACCCTTGGCATTGCAAGTGCCACGCTCTACCAACTGTGTCACACAGGACCACTAAACAGTGTGTAATAGTAATAATAATAATAATAATAATAATAATTGGTCATTTAGCAGACGCTCTTATCCAGAGCGACTTACATGTGTAGCTGTACCATTTAATATATACTATGGGTAATACAGTGCCATTATGATGTTCACAAGGAATGGCCTTCATATTTAACCTGCTATCTGCTGAAATTATTTTTTTTATTTTAGAAAACGCAAACCATGTGGAATGAAGCTGGCACCCCAAATATTGTCAAGATAATATATTCATATTTGAATCATAGCCACTTCCAAACAAGCTAAACCAACTAAACTATGCAGGGAAGAGGAACTTGATGTGACTGAAAGTGACTATGACCTGTATTCAACTAACCCACTGTTGCCTTTTTCCTTAGCAAATTATCACCAGTGATTACCGGTACTGCAATTCTTTCCCCTGCCAATCCATAAGTATTCTTGTGTCATCTTGTCAGCACTTTGGTGATAATGTGGTAACATTTTAGATTACCTCTCAAGAAGACTTGATTGATGGCTAGATACTTTGCTGACTCCCTGCATTGCAGTAGGTTTAGAATTAGTTGCCTAATTCGAATGATTCATCAGGAATCTGTTTTTGTAGGAAAAAAGGTGTAAATGCAAAGGAAATGCTACAGTTCCATCCTTATCAGAGCTTTAGCATTGTAATGCACCCAATGTCAATTAAAGCTGAAAGTGCTGTTTCATAAAGGCACACATTTACAGTTGATAATCATGTAGAATAGATACACTACATGGCAAGAAGTATGTGGACACCCCTTCAAATTAGTGGATTCGGCTATTTCAGCCACACCTGTTGCTGACAGGTGCATCAAATCGAGCACACAGCCATGCAATCTCCATAGACAAACATTGGCAGTAGATTGGCCTGTACTGAAGAGCTCAGGGACTTTCAACGTGGCACCGTCATAGCATGCCACCTTTCCAACAAGTCAGTTCTTCACATTTCTGCCCTGTAAGTGCTGTTATTGTGAAGTAGAAACATCTAGGAGCAACAATGGCTCAGCCACGAAGTGGTAGGCCACACAAGCTCATAGAACGGGACCGCTGAGTGCTGAAGTGCGTAGCGCGTAAAAATTGTCTGTCCTCGGTTGCAACACTCACTACCGAGTTCCAAACTGCCTCTGGAAGCAACATCAGCACAATAACTGTTCGTCGGGAGCTTCATGAAATGGGTTTCCATGGCCGAGCAGCCACACACAAGCCTAAGGTCACCATGCGCAATGCCAAGCGTCGGCTGGAGTGGTGTAAAGCTCGCCGCCATTGGACTCTGGAGCAGTGGAAATGCGTTCTCTGGAGTGATGAATCACGCTTCACCATCTGGCAGTCCGACGGACGAATCTGGGTTTGGCGGATGCCAGGAGAATGCTTCCTGCCCGAATGTATTGTGCCAACTGTAAAGTTTGGTAGAGGAGGAATAATGGTCTGGGGCTGTTTTTCATGGTTCGGGCTAGGCCCCTTAGTTCCAGTGAAGATACATTTTAATGCTACAGCATACAATGACATTCTAGACAATTCTGTGCTTCCAACTTTGTGGCAACAGTTTGGGGAAGGTCCTTTCCTGTTTCAGCATGACAATGCCCCTGTGCACAAAGTGAGGTCCATACAGAAATGGTTTGTCGAGATCGGTGTGTAAGAACTTGACTGGCCTCCACAGCAATGTTCCCTCTAAGCTGCGTGCGGGCATGCAGTAGCCCCGAGACTGCCGCGCAGAGCTCAGAAGAAATATCAGCCCACGGAGAGAAGCACAAAATTGAACTTCACTCAACTTTCTAGACTTTTCCGTGTTAGTTAACAATATCAACGTTTCCCTTTACTGTGGCAATTGTGATCGAATCAAATCAAATCAAATCAAATCAAATTTTATTGGTCACATGCGCCGAATACAACAGGTGCAGACATTACAGTGAAATGCTTACTTACAGCCCTTAACCAACAGTGTATTTATTTTAAACAAAAAAGTAAGAATAAAACAACAACAACAAAAGTGTTGAGAAAAAAAGAGCAGAAGTAAAAAATAAAGTGACAGTAGGGAGGCTATATATACAATAGAATAAAGTGACAGTAGGGAGGCTATATATACAGGGGGGTACCGTTGCATAGTCAATGTGCGGGGGCACCGGCTAGTTGAGGTAATATGTACATGTGGGTAGAGTTAAAGTGACTATGCATAAATACTTAACAGAGTAGCAGCAGCGTAAAAAGGATGGGGTGGGGGGGCAGTGCAAATAGTCCGGGTAGCCATGATTAGCTGTTCAGGAGTCTTATGGCTTGGGGGTAGAAGCTGTTGAGAAGTCTTTTGGACCTAGACTTGGCACTCCGGTACCGCTTGCCGTGCGGTAGCAGAGAGAACAGTCTATGACTAGGGTGACTGGAGTCTTTGACAATTTTGAGGGCCTTCCTCTGACACCGCCTGGTATAGAGGTCCTGGATGGCAGGGAGCTTTGCCCCAGTGATGTACTGGGCCGTACGCACTACCCTCTGTAGTGCCTTGCGGTCAGAGGCCAAGCAGTTGCCATACCAGGCGGTGATGCAACCAGTCAGGATGCTCTCGATGGTGCAGCTGTAGAATTTTTTGAGGATCTGAGGACCCATGCCAAATCTTTTTAGTCTCCTGAGGGGGAATAGGCTTTGTCGTGCCCTCTTCACGACTGTCTTGGTGTGTTTGGACCATGATAGTTCGTTGGTGATGTGGACACCAAGGAACTTGAAGCTCTCAACCTGTCAATGTAATATTAGCCACTTTCAATGTAACATACCGAAACAAAACTAACTATACAAGAGATTTTGTTGTAGGCATCGGAGTAGGATTCTATTGTGCATCACTAGGGCTGTTGCGGTGACCGTATTACCGCCACACCGGCGGTCATGAGTCATGAAGGCAGTCAAATTCCATGTGACTGTTTAGTCACGGTAATTAGGCTTCTCCAAGCTCTGATGCTGCTGATGGTCATTAGTAGCCTACCAAACTTGCTAACTGCCTGGTACTCAGCACTCTATTGTCCCTCTAATCACTCTGACATCAATGCAAATGTAATTGAAAATCACTTCATGAGAGCCCATGAGCTGATGTTGCGCAACATTTATATAGGCTATGCAATTGCACGAGAAAACAGTGATTGCCTCTACTAAAAAGAGGAAGATCCCATCAGCTTTCTATAGACTAGGCCTACTATATTTATTTCTCAACTTTCCTAATATTAAGCACATTGTTTATCTTTATAACAGGAGTATAGCCTACCTGGCTGGCATGAAAATGAACCACAGGAAAAGCATCCTCCATTTGCTATTTAAGTGCATTGATTACATGTATTTTATCCCGCTGCCCCTGTTTCGATACAGGTGCATGATTAATGTTCCATTCTAAATCAAAACAAATTTCACACATATATATATATTATTTAGTATATGTAAAGACTAGATTAAATCAAGAATAGTCTGATGGGTGACAATATTAGCCTATCACTTGTTAATTTCTATATTATCACTTGTGAATAATAAACAGCAGTTTTTTTGCGACTTTTTCGAATCATAGTCGCACACCTCATGTAGCCTAGCCCATGTTTTGATAAGGTTTGTATCACAACTAAAGTGGCCAAATAACTTCTTAAAATTAAGCACATTCATCCGCTTTACAAGGGGTTTAGAGCCTAACTGGCATACATAAGCAGCACGAGTTTCAAGTTTGGGGAAGATAATTTTCACCATAAACATGCACCTTTATAATAAAAGCATTACATGCATAATCGCATTTGCGGTCACTTTTGATAATGGTGTTTTCCCGCTAATGGAACATTCGCGCTTATAGCATAATGCCATGTGCGCATTGCTGCGCTTATGTGAAGAAATAGCCTAATAGATTTTCAATATTTTAAGCTAAACGTTCTGATCTGTTGCGTCAGCCATATTGCGTAGAAAATGTTTTTTTGATGCTAGTGGTTGTATTAATTTCGGATTTATTGCACCCCACAACTGTCCCAGACTATGTTTGGAATATTTATTTCTCGCACAGAATAGAATAGGTCGACCTTTGTACTATGGGGGAGAGTAGATTGACATAGGCTAGTGCTTTTGCTGTTCGTTAGGCCTACTCATCTTGTTGGCTGACGAAAAGTAAATGTGGACAGTTCTTCCAATATCTTCAATATGCACTTCGGAATTGGATAAGGACGCGCGCCGTTGCGTCCCCGATGTTTTTGTCTTCACTTGTAGCCTGTGAGAAAGACCCGATCACGTGACGGAGAGCCATGTGAGTGAGAGGCGTTTCGAATTGCGCAGCACACTAAGGGAAAAGGGCACAACGCAGTACTCCGGGCCGCAAAAGGCATGCTTGTCAAAATTGTGAATGAGAGACTATTGGAGTGTGTACAGCCTGCGCAAAAAACTAAGCAGAGCTCAAGCCTTTCAAGCAACTTTTTCAAAATCATCATAAGTCTCATCATGCAGCCTTACAATGTATTAAAAATCAAAACATTTAGCCCAACGTTTGTAGAACAAGTAAAGTTACATTCATAATTCTAAATTAAGCATATAGGAGTACCTATTTCTTTGTTAACCGCTCAACACAGAAAGACGCATGTGCGCACTCACTCAAATCATTTGGATAAAATATTTACATTTTATTCAGCTTTGTTCAATTGTATTCTTCATACTATAAAATAATGCCACGGAATTATCAGCAAATCTTGTCTGCTAAATGAACTAGTGTAGCCCACAGCCATTTGGCATAGCCACATCAGGACCTAACTGTCACAAGTGTAGAGAGGAGTAGGCAGGAGGCAGTCGCAGGTTTAGAACTACTGAATTTATTAAAGCACCATAGCTTAAAGCAGGACGAAACCAACAGTGCTAAATATAAAGTACTCAGGAAATAGTAGGAGAGATTCTTCTCAGGAAAACAAGCAACATATACAATGACCGACAAAGACAAATGGCAGAGGGAGTATATATACAGTGATAGAGTGGGGATTGGAACCAGGTGTGTGTAATGATGACGAGACAAGTCCGGGGTTGATGAGTGAAGGGCGTTTGCCAGCAGTAGGTTCAGCAGCAGCTAGAAGGCCGGTGACGCCGAACGCCTGAGCTGGACAGGAGGGGAAGTCAAAGCGAATGCTAGTGTGACACTAACATAAGGACAACTCAGAGTATGCTATTCTTTTCTTCTGAATAGACTACATTTTCTTCATATCATGCTTCTTTAGACCTGTCTAAAATAAAGAATGGATTTATTGTGAAGGTGTAGGTTATATTACATGGATTTATTCTACTTTTTAAAATGGCTTGTAGGTGTTATGAGAATTATTTAACTAACTATTTCTGTGTCTCTGTGCGTCTCCCAAAAGGATGTAATGCTTTTGGATCAAGAAACGGACAGAGTCCCGGTCTGCATAGTCAGGCCTTTATTCATTGAGAATTCTGTTATCACAATTTCAGAGTCCATCTTTTATACACACACGTCATACAAAAATCCCTCCCCTCTTTAGGCGGGTTGTAGTTTTCCACTTGAAAATTGCTCTCCTGACCATCAGGTCACACACACACATACACACACACACACACATACACACACACACACACACACATACATACACACACATACATACACACACACACATGTTCTTATCATAGTCTCTCTCCTCCCTAAATTGGGAGGCCTCTTTATCTTGGTTTCTCAGTTGCCTGTAGACAGTTCTCCTTGTCCTTTGTTGTCTGGCCTAACTCTTACTCACATTGCTAAATAGTAACACAATGTCATAATCTTTACTGGTTCTACACTCACACATTACCAGGTAGTAGATTCTAACACATCTCACACAGTTTCGGAGTGTAATAATTAGTCACTACTATATATACAGGTACCCCCCTGTATATATAGCCTCCCTACTGTTATTTTATTTGACTTATGCTCTTTTTTTCTCAACACTTTTTGTTGTTGCACTGTTGGTTAAGGGCTGTAAGTAAGCATTTCACTGTAATGTCTGCACCTGTTGTATTCGGCGCATGTGACCAATAAAATTTGATTTGATTTGAAAGTACTAATCATACTTAAAACAAGAACATTTCACTATATTTAAGGGTGGAACATTTAGTCATTACTTTTAACCTGTATATATTTTAATTTCTATATCAGTAGGCTATGTGTGGAAGCCAGGAGATGCTAAATGTGTTTATGTTAATTAACGGTCAATTATCGTGAGTCCGACAGTTGTTTGCTTTACAATCACCGGCTGACAAAATTTTGTGACCGCCACTGCCCTATGCATGACCCAGCCCATACTCTACATAGACCAGTGCGGCATAGCCAATCAGCGCTGCAGTAGACCATTGCCATATATGGATCCGTGAGTAGATGCGCTTGTTTTGAGATCAAAGCAAGAGCTGCATGTAGACACATGTGCAGATTTTGTTCATATCCTTTGCTATTTAGTGAGTTATTAGCCAAGTTATAGATCATTTGTAGTCAGCAAAAGGGGAGTGATTGCTTCCTACAAGAGCAACTTTGAAAAGTTAGTCAGGTAAAGAGCTTTTTTTTTGTCTTAAAGGGGCTGTGTTGTATTTTGAGACAGGCTTGAATAAGCTAAGTAGCCAATAGGCAGAGGGTAGCATCATTTGTCAGATTATCTGTAATAATGGTATGGGAACAACAACATTTTCAGTCACCTCCTTGTCTGAAGGACAGGTGAATAAACAGGTTAATGTCAAGCCCTGCAGGTTTTTTTCAAAAGCCTCATGGAATGTAGGCCTACATTGAACTCCACACATTGGATGCTATTGTAGGCTGAATGATAGAACAGATATTTCCATGTTAAAATGTTATGGGATGCATTTTCTCCATTGTTTTTGATGGTAGGCCACTCTGGTAGGCCTACATTATGAGTGTTCACAGTAAACACGCGCTGGAAGTTGCACAGAATTTTCACAACGTTCAATTTTGCGCTCAGCAGACCTGAAATTTGCTCAGTGCGGAAAAACATTTGAGGGAACATTGCTGCACAGTGCCCTGACCTCAACCCCATCGAACACCTTTGAAATGAATTGGAACGCCGACTGCGAGCCAGGCCTAATTGCCCAACATCAGTGCCCGACCTCACTAATGCTCTTGTGGCTGAATGGAAGCAAGTCCCCTCAGCAACGTTCCAACATTTGTGGAAAGCCTTCCCAGAAGAGTGGAGGGTGTGGTAGCAGCAGAGGGGGGACCAACTCCATATTAATGCCCATGATTTTGGAATGAGATGTTCAACGAGCAGGTGTCCACATACTTTTGGTCATGTAGTGTATGTGATGTTGCTAATGTCTTGAAATTCCCCCATATATTTCCCCATGAGACATCCCATTTCCAACGAAGCATACAGTAGAAGCTTGATGTGTCAAAGGTAGAAAAAAAGCGAATATTTTATTTGTCACAAAAACGTCTGAAATCACCCAACTTCAAAACTGACTCTCGTTTCAGATGACTGGTGGAATTCTCACGCAGAAATATGTCAGAAATTATAGAGCAGACCTTATTTTACAGCCTGTGTCTCTTTGAACCGCTGTCTGTGTTCTGGACTTTTGGAAAAAATATATTGAGACTCACACATAAGACGTTTCAATCCCACTGCATCTGTTCCAAACAGACCTGGGTTCAAATACTATTTTAAATAATTTAGGATCATTTAGCTGTGTTTAGGATTGAGCTTGCCTGGCGCAATGGAACCAATAGAATAGCCACAAAAGTGTAAACCCTGCCTAACTGGAACTCCAGGCAGGCTTTGGCAAATGCTCAAAGTATTTGAAAGATTTAAAATAGTATTTGAACCCAGGTCTGGTTCTTAATATTCCCTGTAGCTGCATGTGGCTATTAGCAAGACCAGCGCCAAGGCTGTCATCGACTGTAAGCTGGTGGGGGAAAAGGCCATCAACGCGGCGGGCAACATCACCACAGACGGCCTGGAGGTGCTGGGACGCATGGTGCGCTCCCGGGGGAAGAAGGACAACTCTGCACCGGTAAGCCCCATAGTCAGATAAATGCAACATGCAACAATTTCAAAGATTTTACTGAGTTACAGTAAAGGAAATCAGTCAATTTAAATAAATAAATTAAGCCCTAATCTATGGGTTTCACATGACTGGGAATACAAATATGCATCTGTTGGTCACAGATACCTTTAAAAAAAGGTAGGGGTGTGGATCAGAAAACCAGTCTGTATCTGGTGTGACCACCATCTGCCTCATGCAGCGCGACACATCTCCTTTGCATAGAGTTGACCAGGCTGTTGATTTTGGCCTGTGGAATGTTGTCCCACTCCTCTTCAATGGCTGTGCGAAGTTGCTGGATATTGGCAGGAACTGGAACACACTGTCGTACACGTCGATCCAGAGTATCCCAAACATGCTCAATGGGTGACATGTCTGGTGAGTATGCAGGCCATGGAAGAACTTGGACATTTTCAGCTTCCAGGAATTGTGTACAGATCCTTGCGACATAGGGCCATGCATTATCATGCTAAAACATGAGGTGATGGCGGCAGATTAATGGCATGACAATGGGCCTCAGGATCACGTCACGGTATCTCTGTGCATTAAAATTGGCATAGATAAAATGCAATTGTGTTCATTGTCCATAGCTTATGCCTGTCCATACCATAACTCCACCGCCACCATGAGGCACTCTGTTAAAAACGTTGACATGCACTCTGTTCACAACGTTGACATCAGCAAACCGCTCGCCCACACGACACCAAACACGCTGTTTGCCGTCTGCCCGGTACAGTTGAAACCGGGATTCATCCATGAAAGCACACTTCTCCAGCTGCCAGTGGCCATCGAAGGTGAGCATTTGCCCACTGAAGTCAGTTACGACGCCAAACTGAAGTCAGGTCAAGACCCTGGTGAGGATGACGAGCACGCAGATGAGCTTCCCTTAGACGGTTTCTGACAGTTTGTGCAAAAAATGTTTGGTTGTGCGAACCCACAGTTTCATCAGCTGTCCGGGTGGCTGGTCTCAGACGATTCCGCAGGTGAAGAAGCTGGATGTGGAGGTCCTGAGCTGGCGTGGTTACACATGGTCTGCGGGCGTGAGGCCGGTTGGACGTACTGCTAAATTCTCTAAAACGACGTTAGAGGCGGCTTATGGTAGAGAAATTAACATTCATTTTTCTGGCAACAGCTCTGGTGGACATTCCTGCAGTCAATATGCCAATTGCACACTCCCTCAAAACTTGAGACATCTGTGGCATTGTGTTGTGTGTCAAGTGGCCTTTTATTGTCCCCAGCACAAGGTGCACCTGTGTAATGATCATGCTGTTTAATCAGCTTCTTGATATGCCACACCTGTCAGGTGGATGGATTACCTTGGCACAGGAGAAATGCTCACTAACAGGGATGTAAACAAATTTGTGCACAAAGCTTTTTGTGTGTATGGAACATTTATGGGATCGTTTATTTAAGCTCATGAAACATTGGACAAACACTTTACATGTTGTTCAGTATAAAAAAATATGTGTGTTTGCTGTTTTTGTTGTCCTCAGTTTCAACTGCAGTCGTTTGACATCGTCTGCAGCACGTCCTGGGCCAGCCGAGACAAGTGCTGTGAGCTTCCTGGTCTGGTGAGTTCAAGCCTGACTACTGATCTAATCTACTGACTGACATGGAATGACCCTAACCTTTGTTGTAATGTGTAGTTGCATGTCGTAGGATCATGTCATAGATGTCATATTGTGTCATCCTGTTGTTGTGTTGTCTTGTGGTCATTATCCACTTTTTTCCATAATTAGCCTCATTATCATTATGCTTTGGTCAATATCATAATCATTAGGTCATTGTCCTTTTGTGTTCCATGTATTGTCATGTGGTCATACAGTAGCATAGTCATGTTATTGTGGTATTTGTCTCATTTGTCTGGTATTTGTCTCATCTCTCAGAGGAAGGAAGAGGACTGTCCTGCCATGCCCCGTGCCTGCACCTGCACACAGGACAGCAAAGGTCCCCCCGGCCCCACTGGACCCCCTGTGAGGACCCTCCGTCTCTCCTTCATCACCATAATTTGTTACTTAAAGCTGTTGTTGAACTAGGAACTCATTCATTGCATTCAGTGGCTGAACAGAACACGGCGTGACATTTGGGGATGGAAAGGGATATATACATAGCTACAGTACATACACCCCCTGTGTGTGATAGTGTGTTTAGGATTTGTTGATAGAGTGTGTCTTTAATGTCTATGATACGAAATGTTGATGGTGTGTGACAGAGAGTGTGTGTGTGTGTGTTTGTGTGTTATCAACAGGGTGGTCCTGGGATCAGAGGAGGGAGAGGGGACCGTGGAGAACCAGGAGCTGTGGTACAGTACACACACACACACACACACACACACACGTTAGTAAAAACCCAATGAAAGTCAATGCAACTTGTAACACTCACTGAAACCAAGATATGTTATAGTTCCACAAGCACTGAGTGGGTTGACAGACACATACCCACATTGATGGATACCTCTCTTCCATAAAAGACCCATTATACTCGGCTTGGCTGAAAACCCACTCTCTCTGAAAATGCCCCCTGTAAAGTTCTAATCTTTTATTCATTTCTCACTCTCTCACATGCTATTCGACTCGGATTGCACGGGTCCCAGAAAATTGCACTGGTGGTTGAATTGTGTGTTATTAGAGCATGTGAAGGTCCTTGTAATGCAGGCGTCCTCGCAGTGCGCCCATGCTGTCTTTCTACTCTCATGAATTTTAAATTCATCGGAGACGCAGCATGCCCCAATGAAAGTCAATGGCCTGCGACTGGTTGGCTCACGACAAGACAGACAGAGAGTGGCCTCACGGGTCTCTGATTTGCAGTTAAATCACAGAGTTAGCCTAAAGCCCCCTCTCAGCCGCCCAGAGCTCGGTCAGATGATGTATAAAGGATGAAGACAGTTGTATGGAATAAAATATATATTAACATATTGCTCGCCCTCCATGAAACCTTGCACAGCACACTATTGATATTCATATCGTCAACTTTTGAAAGCCTTAGATTGCAGTTCCGCTGTTGTAGTCCTATATGTCATTAAAACATGTTTACAGGACTATATTACCAGCTAGCAGTTCAACATTCACAAATGGGTATATTATTGTTGTTTCAAATTGTACTTTGTAATACATTGAAAATGAATTGTATATTTCCTCTGTTTGTTCCAGTGATACTACATAGTGGTAATGGCTGTAGAATATAGGGGATTTAACTAGATCACTTTATCTCTTTGTTAACTATATTCTAATCAATTTTATCAATGTGTTCTTCTGTCTCTATGACAGGGGCCGATAGGTCCAGTTGGGGACGCTGGTACTCCTGGGCTGCAGGGGCCTCCTGGCCCCCAAGGCCCCAGCGGCCGGACCATCATGGGCCCCCCGGTAAGACACACACATGCGCATACACACACTCACACCATCTAATACTGCACATATTAGAGGAGTCTAGTTTCCCGACATACATAACATAGCTACAGTACCAGATTCACCTAGGCCTGCTATAAAGTCTACCTTGTAAAAGCTGTTGTAATACTCGGATATCGATTCTTTCTCTCCCAAGGACTTTTGTTAAACGTAAGCCATAAAGGAGGGAGGATGTATCATAACCTAATAGACTGTAAACAGTGCAGTACAATATGAAGTACACTGTTACACCTGCATTGGTATTGACAGGTCAGTGACTGATGAAGGACGGGTAAAACATTAAAGGAAAAGCCCACGTGTCTTAACTTTACTAAGGCAATGTTTAAGCCAACCTATGTGTTGAGGAAAACTCGTTCAAGGAATCAGGCAGAACTCATTTATCAGCAATAAGAGGTTTATTCAAGCAATTGCAAGGAAGATCACGCTCTCAGGATGAACCCGGAGAGGATCTTCATTATTTACAAGTCACTCAGTCTTTATATACTCCACCTACACAAAGAGCTGCTTACCCCTCAAAAAGAGGCAAGCTTACAAAAGAGATAAGGGTAATTAGCTCTACTCCCTTAAAGCATTAAAACAAACAAAAGCAGGTTCTAGCCGATGTGTCTAAGATAGGGGAATGATCAGATCTTTAGAGCCTAAACAGACAGGATAATAATTCAACCTGGATTGCTTTTAGAGATAAGGAATGAATAACAAATCAATCCTTTGTAGGGTGTATGACGAGGTTACTGGACAGCTGTGGTAAATTACCAGTGACTGTAACAAAACCATTTTGCACCCACAAAAGCATTAGACTGTAATAAATTAATTTTGCTCCACCATATGGTACATTATTCTCTCTGGTATAACATACACAAGTTCTATATCGATGACCATTATTTATTTGTCGTTAATTCAGCATTATAGTGACAGCTAAGGGATTATTAAGGGTTATTAAGGTACAGCTACTGTAAGAGCTTGTGAAACAAATGGCATTTGTAATTAGAACGCAGATGGTGACCAAATAGTGACGACCCCAAATAAAATAGCCTCCAAATAAGCTTGATATTTGCTCTTGATATTTATTGTTGTTTTTTCTAACTTCAGGGTGGTCCAGGAGAGAGAGGTGAGAAGGGTGCAGCTGGCGCTCCAGGGATACAGGTAAAGATCACCATTCACTTCCTGCCCTTTCAGACACACTTTCCCTCATCACAAAATGGCATTCAATCTTCAAATGACATACAAATGACACCATTGCACCAAAGGGAGATCTTTGAATGTCATATTGAATTTATATCTCTGTAAGGTAGCTGCTAATAGGAACAAGTAATTCTGAGTTCTGGTGAGAGAGTTTTGTGTGAAGGGCTCCTGCTCCCCTTTGGCTTATGTGATGTCATATTTATCTCAATGCATTAAATGATTTGCACAGGTAGCAAGAGGAGAAGGTAGAAGTTGGTCTTAACCACTGATAAAGGGTCAGATATCTTCCCATCCCCTTAATGGTAAATCTGAGCATTAGCGGATAGGATCATCTAATCCTAGATCTGTGGTTATGTTCAGCGCCTGCCTGGACTGTAACAAGACATCACAGCAGTTTTTACAGAACAACAATAGCTATTTCCCCTCTTTTGTAATGACTCATGTCTAAGATGCAATAAACTTTCATTATAGTCAATCTCTGAGCTCAGCCAATTAAGATGGATCCTGTCAATAACTGTAGAGGTTGGGAGATGTGTGCTTTTGTTTGTAATAGGCTTTGAGCCATGCCATTGTCATTCCGTACCTGTTGTGTCTGAGTGAGGGGAATTTGGCTTTGACGGCTGTGAAGGTCATGCAAGAGAGTGTGTATTACAAACAGCTCAGGCCTCACAACATTAATTACCTGTAATGAGTTAGGATAATGATCCAACCAACCGAGCCTGTCAATACAAATGTATTCATGCTGACACCTTAACAGGCCTTTCTGTTTTCACACGCTCTCTCTCTCTCTACGGTTGCAGGGCATTCCTGGATCTCCTGGGTCACCAGGTCGAGAGGGACAAACAGGAACAAGGGTAATGTCTTGTTTGTCTGTTTAATCAAAAGGAATAGATTTATGTGAATATAAAGTCATGGTATATGAGCTGCCGTAGCAGCACAGTCTCATAGGCATTAATTTGGACATGTAACCCCTTTCCACAGGGACTGACTGGTAAAGATGGACCCCAGGGGCGAACAGGACCTCCAGGGACTATGGTAAGTCTGATTGTGTATGGATGGAGCATCAGGGACTGATGAATGAATTTGATTTAATTGAATTGAATTATAAAATACATTAATTCTGTAACTTTGAATTGTAAAATACAACCTGCAACTAACTACTTTCTGGTCAGAAGTACTGTCCCTGTAAGTTACTTGTTTGTGCTTCTTGGCAAATGTGACAGTTTTTTTGTTTTGCTTCTTGGCCAAATGTTTTTGTGGTACCTCAAGTTACCACTGGGAAAACAAAAGTTACAGATTGTACCTTTGAGTCAGGGGCACAACTTTGGATTTATAAAAAAATAAATATATATATATATATATATATATATATTTTTTAGGGGGTAGATCAGATTTAATATTGCAGATAAATTGTGTCTTCCATCAATGTAATTGTCTGCATCATTTCCAATCCCCCATATATATTTTTGTAAATGTATATTTTTTTAAATATATTTTCCTTTATTATTTTCCCCTAACCCTACCATCCCTCCCCTAATTGGAGTAAACTAATGGACAACACTTAGGCTTCTACTTCCAGCTTATACATACTATATACAGTTGAAGTCGGAAGTTTACATACACCTTAGCCAAATACATTTAAACTCAGTTTTTCTAAATTCCTGACATTTAATCCTAGTAAAAATTCCCTGTCTTAGGTCAGTTAGGATCACCACTTTATTTCAAGAATGTGAAATGTCAGAATAATAGTAGAGAGAATGATTTATTTCAGCTTTTATATCTTTAATCACATTCCCAGTGGGTCAGAAGTTTACATACACTCAATTATTATTTGGTATCATTGCCTTTAAATTGTTTAACTTGGGTCAAACATTTCAGGTAGCCTTCCAAAAGCTTCCCACAATAAGTTGGGTGAATTTTGGCCCATTCCTCCTGACAGAGCTGGTGTAACTGAGTCAGGTTTGTAGGCCTCCTTGCTCGCACACGCTTTTTCAGTTCTGCCCACATATTTTCTATAGGATTGAGGTGAGGGCTTTGTGATGGCCACTCCAATACCTTGACTTTGTTGTCCTTAAGCCATTTTGCCACAACTTTGGAAGTATGCTTGGGGTCATTGTCCATTTGGAAGACCCATTTGCGACCAAGCTTTAACTGCCTGACTGATGTCTTGAGATGTTGCTTCAATATATCCACATAATTTTCCTTCCTCATGATGCCATCTATTTTGTGAAGTGCACCTGTCCCTCCTGCAGCAAAGCACCCCCACAGCATGATGTTGCCACCCCTGTGCTTCACGGTTGGGATGGTGTTCTTCGGCTTGCAAGCGTTCCCCTTTTTCCTCCAAACATAACGATGGTCATTATGGACAAACAGTTATATTTTTGTTTCATCAGACCAGAGGACATTTCTCCAAAAAGTATGATCTTTGTCCCAATGTGCAGTTGCAAACCGTAGTCTGGCTTTTTATGGCAGTTTTGGAGCAGTGGCTTCTTCCTTGCTGAGCGGCCTTTCAGGTTACGTCGATATAGGACTCATTTTACAGTGGATATAGATACTTTTGTACCTGTTTCCTCCAGCATCTTCACAAGGTCCTTTGCTGTTGTTCTGGGATTGATTTGCACTTTTCGCACTAAAGTACGTTAATCACTAGGAGACAGAACGCGTCTCCTTCCTGAGCGGTATGACGGCTGCGTGGTCCCATGGTGTTTATACTTGCATACTATTGTTTGTACAGATGAACGTGGTGCGTTCAGGCGTTTGGAAATTGCTCCCAAGGATGAACCAGACTTGTGGAGGTCTACAATTATTTTTCTGAGGTCTTGGCTGATTTCTTTTGATTTTCCCATTATGTCAAGCAAAGAGGCACTGAGTTTGAAGGTAGGCCTTAAAATACATCCACAGGTACACCTCCAATTGACTCAAATTATGTCAATTAGCCTATCAGAAGCTTCTAAAGCCATTACATAATTTTCTGGAATTTTCCAAGCTGTTTAAAGGCACAGTCAACTTTAGTGTATGTAAACTTCTGACCCACTGGAATTGTGATGCAGTGAATTGTACGTGAAATAATCTGTCTGTAAACAATTGTTGGAAAAATTACTTGTGTCATGCACAAAGTAGATGTCCTAACCGACTTGCCAAAACTATAGTTTGTTAACAAGAAATTTGTGGAGTGGTTGAAAAACTAGTTTTAATGACTCCAACCCTAGTGTATGTAAACTTACGACTTCAGCTGTACGTACGGTTACTGTGGGGACTACGTCATCGATGCACTTGTTGATGAAGCCAGTGACTGATGTGGTGTACTCCTCAATGCCATCGGAAGAATCCCGGAACCTATTCCAGTCTGTGCTAGCAAATCAGTCCTGTAGCTTAGCATCTGCGTCATCTTACCACTTCTTTATTGACCGAGTCACTGGTGCTTCCTGCTTTAGTTTATGCTTGTAAGCAGGAATCAGGAGGATAGAATTATGGTCAGATTTGCCAAATGGAGGGCGAGGGAGAGCTTTGTACGCATCTCTGTGTGTGGAATAAAGGTGGTCTAGAGGTTTTTTACCCTCTGATTGCACATTTAACATGCTGGTAGAAATTAGGTCAAATGGATTTAAGTTTCCCTGCATTAAAGTCCCCGGCCACTAGGAGCGCCGCCTCTGGATGAGTGTGGTCTTAGTGCCATATATAAAATATAGATGAAAACTCTCTTGGTAAATAGTGTGGTCTACAGCTTATCATGAGATACTCTACCTCAGGCGAGCAAAACCTAGAGACTTCCTTAATATTAGATTTCGTGCACCAGCTGTTGTTTACAAGTATACACAGACCGCCACCCCTTGTCTTACCGGAGGCCGCTGTTCTATCTTGCCGATGCAGCGTATGTTATCCATGTCGTCGTTCAGCCACGACTCTGTGAAACATAAGATATTACAGTTTTTAATGTCCCGTTGGTAGGATATTCGTGATCTTAGTTTGTCTATTTTGTTATCCAATGATTGTACGTTGACTAATAGGACTGATGGTAGAGGCAGATTACGCACTCGCCGTCGGATCCTTACAAGGCACCCCGACCTGTCCCAGATATCTCCGTCTCTTTCACCTGCGAATGACGGGGATTTGGGCCTTGTCGGGTGTCTGAAGTAAATCCTTCGCGTCCGACTCATTAAATAAAAAATCTTTGTCCAGTACGAGGTGAGTAATCGCTGTCCTGATATCCAGAAGCTCTTTTCGTTCATACGAGACAGTGGCAGAAACATTATGTACAAAATAAGTTACAAATAACGCGAAAAAACACACACAATAGTGCAATTGGTTAGGAGCCCATAAAACGGCAGCCATCTCCTCCGGCGCCATTGATTCCTGAACACTCTTTTAAAGAGTGCAACGTGTACACACTGAACCATGCTCAACTCTCCCGTGCTGGTTGGTCCAGCCAGCCTTCCAGAAGCTTTGCCTTCACACAGCCTGTCAGCCCGCTCTGCGGTGTCAGCGCGGTCCTAAATCCAGTCGGATAAACACTCCAAACAGCCTACCCGACTGCTCGGAGGCGTCCACATGGTCCTAAAGCACACCGTTGCCTTGTTTTGTTTCACATTCCAATGATAAAAAATAATGATAATAATGTATGCACTAAGTCGCTCTGGATAAGAGCATCTGCTAAATGACTAAAATGTAAATGTAATGTAAATGTATAAAACTGGGGGGGACAAAAATTTCAGAATGTGGGGGGGACATGTCCCCAGTGAAAGTTGCGCCCCTGCTTTGAGTGATTGCTTAATCAGTGACATGACAATTTGTTTGTTTGTGTTTTTCTCCTCCTTCACCCATAGGGCACTCCAGGAGCTCCCGGGTCACCAGGGTCAAGTGGACCTCCAGGGTCACTGGGAGACCAAGGACCTCCTGTGAGTCATCTGACCTCTATGTCCATGCATGTTACTACTAATGGAGCTGACCCTCTAGCTGAGGAAATACCCAGCAAGCGGAACTGATTGAAATGACATCATTACAACCAGATACGTCAGCATGATGTCATTTCAAACGGTTTTGCCTGCTGTGTCTAGGATTAGGGAGGGAGGTTTTGGGAGACAGCAAAGCCATATATAAATATATTGTACATAGTCCTAGAGTACAGTGTATCTATCATAATTAGGACCCAGAGTTATTCTTGACTGCATGACTTGACCAATGAAGTTACAAACTATAACAAGCGCCAAGCATTATTCTAGGGCAGGTCACATGGTCAGGAATATGTTGTATTTCTATGTATGTATAGAGATCTGGGAGAGAGGGTGACAGTTCAAAGGGGATATTCGGAGACAGGGAAATAATTTAAGGAACTATATATACATCTAGTTCTACATCTAGAAAATCTAACATTGTAAGGAGAAGGTATGTCAAAGATGTACTGTATGTTATGTTCGCCAGGCTTCAAAGTCCACCAACTTCATTCTATAAAGAGTTGAATAAAGAGAAACAATACCTTAAAAAATCAATAAATGTATAATTCTTGTGCAATTTATATAGGCTACATTGAGGTTTTTCTTTAATTATTTTAGGCTATATGCTATTAGTGCATAAGCCTAAGCTTCAGGGCTTAACTGTACGCATACCAAATAGCCGACACAGAAAATCACATTTTGCACAGTTATTGTATTTTCTCCCCAGTCCCTAAACGTCTTTGCTTCGCGAAAGATGACAGAGAACTTTACCGATGTCAACTAGATTGAAGCATTCATTCTATCGATCTATTACATTATTCTATTGAGCAAGGGTTTATTTAGTCTTCTAGGGAAACATATTATGACAAAAGAGAAGCTACATGTATCTAATTATAGACAAGTTGACTAACAAATAGCCTACCAAAATGTCGGAAATTATAAGCAGAAACATATCTAAATCACGCAACAACAAAGAAATCCTGCACCCCCTGTCAAAAAATCTTTCCTCCGTCATTGACTGTAGCCTATTTTCTATATTTAGGGTTGGGTGCGGGCCTCAAATTTTCACTTTGTCACATAAAGGCGGGCGGTTGCGGATGGTTATTAGCAATTGCGGGTGGGTGCGGGCGAACAAACAGCTGACCCACACCACTATTCCAGACACATGTAGAATCTATGCTTGTAGAATCTATACATACTGTATGTTCTGGCGGCTCATGGTGGCCCAACGCTTTATGTTGGTGTTTCCATTATTTTGGCAGGTGCCTGTATGTTGCCGTTGTATATTTCAACATTGTTGCCAGAAAACAGACTTGTGACACTGAATGGGCTCTCTTTTCATTAGAGAATCTGAGGTTAACCTAACACTATCTTGAATATGGAACAGAATACATTGTGGCGGTTTATGTAAATCTTTAACAAATTGCCTTACAATGTCATGACAATATGCAATATGCAATTCAAGCTACATTGGTGGCCTTGCAAGGCACTAATATATTTTTATTTTTATTTATTTCACCTTTATTTAACCAGGAAGAAACCCATTGAGACACATTGTCTATTTTGCCAGGGAGACCTGGCCAACAAAGCAGCAGCGGTCAATACAACATTTAAACATACAATACAAACAGAACAACAACACGTCATTAAGTGCTGATCCGGCCTGGAGGAAACATTTACACTCCTCAACAGAGTTTTGGGCCAGAGTTTTAAAGCGTATTTTGCAGACTGTTCCATGCATCAGGTGCACAATAGGAAATGGCAGTCTTGCTTAACTCTGTAACAGCCCTGGGGACTTTTAGTTGCAACCATCTAGTAGACCGCGTCTGGGAATGGCTAGTGGTGATAGTGAAGGAGAGCAGGCTACCCAGAAGGGCTTTGTAGATGAACGAATACAAATGTAGCTGTCTGCGTATGTAAAGCAAGGTCCAGCCCTCCATTTGATACAAGGTGCACTGGTGGGTGAGCGACTTGGCATTTGTAACATAACGCAAAGATGCATGATAAACAGAGTCCAGTCTCTTTAACACAGAAGAGGCTGCATGCATATACAATATGTCACCATAATCAATTACAGAAAGAAAAGTGGACTTGAACAAGCTTCTTTATAGCCTCAAACGGGAAGCAAGCCTTGTTACAAGAATAAAAACCCAATTTCAGTTTAAGCTTCCTCACAATTATTATCTACAAGAACCAAAGATCAAGGTATTTGTAGGATGACACCTTTTTAATTGGTGTGCCGCCAGACGTCAAAATGCTAACCTTCTCTGGCTGAGAGCCAGAGAAGGTTGGCAGTAATTACATAGTAATTACACAGTCTTGCCCACTATGTAATTACTGGTACTGCATAGTTATTATTTGTCATTATATGACCTTTGCAGATAAATGGTTATGCCAGGGTTAAAATAATGACGCTAGCTTTCTGAAGGTAGCTTCTAGCTTTCTGAAGGTAGCTTCTAGCTTTCTGAAGGTAGCTTCTGTTCATTCAAGTGCAGGGCTTTTTCCTGAGAAGAGTTGTTTTATACCTGTCATCCAGATTGTCTATCAATGTCTGCTGTAATTCTGTTAACCTTTCCAAATAGTTTTTACTTCTCTGGGAGAAATGTCTACTTCTTGATGCAACTTCTTGAAAGGAAAAATAAATGTACAACTCAAAATGTGTACAGTAAATGTACTTCATTGTTTTCTGTCCATTGTCATTCTGCCTCTTGTTCTGTTGCAGGGTCCCGCCGGAAACAAAGGAGAGAAGGGAGAAAGAGTAAGTCCTAGAGATAACAAACAGATTGTTCATTTATGTAATACTTCATATACATTGCTTTGGCATTAGTGACAACCACCCATTCATGCCAATAAAGCATGTATAAAATTGAATTGAAATAGTGTATGATACTAATGTTGTTCTGTATAATAAACAGTACAATATATTTACAAATGTATGTGGACACCCCTTCAAATTAGTGGATTCGGCTGTTTCAGCCACACCCGTTGCTGATAGGTGTATAAAATCGAGCACACAGCCATGCAGTCTCCATAGACAAACATTGGCAGTAGAATGGCCTTACTGAAGACCTCAGTGACTTTCAACATGGCACCTTCATAGGATGCCACCTTTCCAACAATTCAGTTCATCAAATTTCTGCCTTGCTAGAGCTGACTGCTAGAGCTGCCCCGGTCAACTGTAAGTGCTGTTATTGTGAAGTGGAAACGTCTAGCAGCAACAACGGCTCAGCCGCGAAGTGGTAGGCCACACAAGCTCACAGAACGGGACCGCCAAGTGCTGAAGCGCATAGTGTGTAAAAATCGTCTGTCCTCTGTTGCAACACTCACTACTGAGTTCGAAACTGCCTCTGGAAGCAATGTCATCACAATAACTGTTCGTCAGGAGCTTCATGAAATGGGTTTCCATGGCCGAGCAGCCGCACATAAGCCTAAGGTCACCATGCGCAATGCCAAGCGTCGGCTGGATTGGTGTAAAGCTTGCGCGCCATTAGACTCTGGAGCAGTGGAAACACGTTCTCTGGAGTGATGAATCATGCTTCACCATCTGGCAGTCCAACGGACGAATCTGGTACCTGCCCGAATGCATAGTGCCAACTGTAAAGTTTGGTGGAGGAGGAATAATGGTCTGGGGCTGTTTTCATGGTTCGGGCTAGGCCCCTTAGTTCCAGTGAAGGGAAATCTTAACGCTACAGCATACAATGACATCCTAGACGATTCTGTGCTTCCAACTTTGTGGCAACAGTAGTGCGCAAAGCGAGGTCCATACAGAAATGGTTTGTCGAGATCGGTTTGGAAGAACTTGACTGGCCTGCACAGAGCCCTGACCTCAACCCCATCGAACACCTTTGAGATGAATTGGAACACTGACTGCGAGCCAGGCCTAATCGCCCAACATCAGTGCCTGACCTCACTAATGCTCTTGTGGCTGAATGGAAGCAAGTCCCTGCAGCAATGTTCCAACATCTAGTGGAAAGCCTTCCTAGAAGAGTGGAGGCTGTTATAGCAGCAAAGTGGGGACCAACTCCATATTAATGCCCATGATTTTGGAATGAGATGTTCGACAAGCAGGTGTCCACATACTTTTGGTCATGTAGTGTAATTCTGTGGAGTAAGTGTTTGTATGCCCCCTGAGTTCTTAACGTCAATGTTCAAGATAAGTAATGCCCTCCTTTCAAGTAATTGCTGCTCCTCAGCTTGGGGGTATTGGTGTTCTCTGAGAGCCTGACAGTATACAATTACCATTACAACAAGTTTTCTGAAGAGGAATATCACATGGTATACTGCACCCAGAACACATTTTGTAGAATACCTATTCATGCATACTTTATAAGCTTTAGAGCTGTGTTACTCAGCTGTAGAAATGGGTTTCTACTTTACAGCAGTTGTATTTTAAAGAGCAATCTTTCTAGTGTTAAGTACTTTATGGATTGGTGTCGCACATAACAGCGAACAGTGAATGGCTAAGGTTTTTAGACAAGGCTAAAAAGCAACATCTAGGCTTGTCAACAACAGCCATGTTTTCCAATCGAAAGAGTTGATGCCAAATTCACAGCTGGCAGGCTTTCTACCCAAGTAATGGTGGAGGAAATGTTACCTGTGGGATCGATGAAACAGGTTGGACACATCAAACACACACAGTGTTATCTGTAGCCATGGTGTCACCATGTGATTTTGCCTCCAGGGTGACCTGCAATCCCAGGCATCGGTCCAAGCAATCGCCCGGCAGGTCTGTGAGCAGCTGATACAGAGTGAGTCTTTTTTTATCCTGCATCTGACCCTCTTCCTGTGTGGGTTTGTGTGTATGGATGTGGGGTTGCACAGGTCTTGTGTATTTTGAGTGTAAGTGTATTGTATGGAAGGGGTGTAAAGTATGAAAATATGAGTGTTGTCTATGAAGGTGTAAATGTATTTTGCCATTGGCATCCATTAATGTGCCACTGACCTCAGTCTGACGTCTCTCCCACAGGTCACATGGCTCGCTACAACTCCATCCTCAACCACATCCCCAGTGCACCCGTTTCCATCCGCACCGTTCCTGGACCCCCAGGAGAGCCCGGGCGGCAGGGCGGACAAGGACCACAGGGAGAGCAGGGGCCCGCGGGCAGACCAGGGTTTCCCGGGTCCAATGGAGAGAATGGACAACCAGGAGCCAGAGGTACTGTATAGAGAAGACTCAGATTTAACTCAAGCTATCAAGTAAAGATCTAGTCATGTAGCCTATGCCATAAGCTTGTGAGAAAAGATATTACAGTAAATGATACTGTCAGGTAATGTAAGAAAACATCACTAATATATTCAGAAAAAAAGGATTACACATTAGGCTAGATCTACAATATTGGACATGACACTTGTAGTGCTGAAGGTGATATAATATGGAAAGGAGACAAGCATGCCCACTTCTCTGCATTTTGTCAAAGTGTGTGTCCCCTCTGCCTTTGTCTGTCCAGGTTTGTCAGGAGAGAAGGGCGACAAGGGAAGCCCAGGTGTAGGAGTCCAGGGTCCCAGAGGCCCCATAGGACCCCCAGGTAACCGAAACAATGCCTGCTGAAAAACACCCCCAAAAAAACAATAAACTGCAAATTTCCAACTTCAATTTCCCTCCAGAGACTTCCTTTGCCACCGAGCCTCTGCAGAGGAAATCAAAATCTGTTAAGCGGGTGGATTAGAAAATGGGAAGTCATCCGATCTGTTTTTGATTAAGGGTCTCCCTCTTGATTCAAGGGGAGAATATGACACGGAGAGGGTAGCCCGAGTTGCATTTAATTTACTTTTGTTTGTTGTTTTTCATTAAGCTGCTTCTACTGGTTTAATCAAACATTATTAGGGGCATAGCTATTGACTCCTGTATTGATTGTAGTCTAGCTGACGCAGTGTGTTGATTGAACTCCTGGAGCGGTTGCCATGTTGGTCTACAGGAGAGAACTCCGAGCTCTTTGGAATCTGGCATACGCGAGATGAGCGCCTCCAAGGATATTTAAAAAATGATATTCATAGCCGCTGCATTTCCTGATGGAGACAGCTCAGTGATAATAGCATTGGTTTCCTTACCCTGTAAGATGTCTATGGGTAAGGTATGACAGCAATCCATGCTTTGGTTTAGTTTCCTTGGTACTGTTTCCACATGCTAATGTTTTATCATTTTTTGGCACAAATTGAATTCAAGTCATTGGACCGATATTAGCATTTTTCGCACATTATGTTCAAAACATCTATAAGTGACTTTGTTGAGCTTTACAATAAATTGTAGATACTTTCGGATGACTTGGACATGATGCGAGAAAAATGCTTATATCGGTCCCATGACTTGAATGGGATTTGCGCCACAAATGCTAAAATGTTAGCATGTGGAAACAGTGCCAGGGAAACTAAACCAAAGCATGGATTGCTGTCATAACTTGTCCATAGACTGCTTACAGGGTAAGGAAACCAGTGTGTAATTTTGTAATTTGGGTGAACTATCCCTTTAACTTCATGAATTCTACCTCAATATGCAGTGTTCTTAGTCACAATGAAGACAATAATAATGCCATGTTTCATTGGTTTGCCATAACGTTTCACATAATGATTTAACTTAGCTCAAAGTTAAAACCTTAATTGTTCATTGAAAAATGTATTTGTTTTATCAAAACACACTCTCCCCTTTCTCCGCCCTCTCCTCACCCCTTTTCTTTCTCCTCCAGGACCAACGGGTCAGGGGCGGACAGGTAGCCAGGGTCCGTCTGGTCGGCCGGGGAACCCTGGAACCCCTGGGCGGCCGGGTATCCCTGGACCAGTGGGGTCGGCTGGGCCTCCTGGATACTGTGACCAGAACTCTTGCGTGGGCTACAACGTAGGAGGTAATTATGACACGAATCCTCCCCTACCACTGTAAGCACACATTAGATCTAATTGTTTAGCCATAGAGGACTCCATTGGCATTCCCATCAGGTTGTTGTGTAGATAACCCTTACCTGAGAATGCACTCTCTGAGAATGGGTTTGTAATCAGAGAGTAGGTCATAGGGTTAGGACTGAATCTGGCCTTTTTTTCATGTCTGTATATCTGACGTATTGTATTATACCCTGACAATCAATCATCAACTCATTTAATCCAATAAAAGCTCTTTGAAAGGGAGACCTGAGCAAAGAGGTCTCATTGGGTTAAATCCGCCAGGGGGTTGACCCGAATCACACCCTTATCCACACAGTATTTCAAGGTGAAGCTAAGACAACATTACTTATCTGACCTATCTTGAAAAGAAAGTTCTCAGAAACGTCTACACTATAGTATGACTAACTTACCAGTTAGCCAAGTTTAGTTTGGTTGCCCATACTGAGATATATTTAAGAAATTGGCATTTGTTTTCTGATTTACTTTATTCTTAATAGACTTTGAATTCTAATGTATTGAGACCCACTTGATTAACCTCAGGACTGAACCTCATTAAAATAAATGAGTGGTAGCTCTTTATTCTCTGTTTACGACAGCTCAGGAAAATAATGAGCCCATTCTATTATCTGATGGTTTACAGTAAGATGGCTGTGAGCATATGGTTTATTTATGAATCCATTAGTTCCTGTTGTCATTTAAGCCTTGAAATACAAAATGCAGCCAAGGTGCAGAATTCAGCTTGGAAACAATGACTTACAATGTGGTGAATTCATGTAATGGTATCTGAGAATATTTTTTAAATGCTGCCATTTCAGTATCCCAGTATCTTAGCTTGTGGAATTGAATTAAACAAGCTTGCTTGTTTAAACTTCTATAGACCCTATAGATATTTGTGAATGCTTGTGACATGCATTTATGTACAATATAGTTATTCCGACAAAATATCTATCAACTCTCAAAGTCTTATCACGATAAGTCATATTTCAGTATTTGCATGTACAGACCACACTATTGCATCAAGTTTGACCACATTGTACCAAGTTTCAAAAAGAAAATTCTGCATCTTTACAGTCATGTGATCATGATATATTCAACAATGGTTCATCATCTAATATCATGGTTATTGTGAGTGTGGATACAATCTATAGCGCCCAAACTGTAAATGCATGTGTGCATGGACACCCAGACCATCAATGATGTCTGTCTCTATCGGCCATTTTCTCCGAGGAAAAGGCAATAGGGTGAGCACACTGTATGGCTAGATAGGCCTGCGCTGTTCTCCATGCACTCCACGGTGTGAGTAATACCAGCATGGTGACTTTATGATTTTGTCTCGTCTGTCTGACCTGTGGTATGTTTGTCTCCCTCTCTCTCCTTCTGTCATCCCTCTCTCTCACTACTTTCTCTTACTCAAGTCCAACAACAGTATGGGTAGTGAGCAGCATTCAAAAGGGTTGTAGTGGAGGTGTTAGGGTAGACAGGCTTGTCCCTTGGCCATACACCCTCGCTATATCCCTGTCAGCAACGACTACTGCCTTGTTTCCTATAAAGCTGTTCCAAGTTCCTCTCTTTGTAGAAACACATTCTACCTGAGCCTGAGTCAAAAACTAATTTAGCCATAAATGCATTTTTTTTAGCTCACCGCATATAAACTAATATATATTTTATCCAAGGCTTCTCTATGCTTCTGCAGGGAATGTGTACCGTTTTTATATTCCATAAGGAACCAATGGTTGACTAATACTGATTGTCATTTGATGCGTTATTCAGTTGAGCTGTCTCATATATTTAATAAGAGACCCACTTAGACCTCCTGTCCCTGTCAGTGTAGCTCCTCCCTACCCCTCTTTAACTCTTCTGGCCGCTTTGATGTCGTCGCTAACACTGTTCCTCCTGTGTGTCTCTGCCTCCTTCCTGTCCTGTCCCTTTCCCGCTAACCCAATCAAAAACAAACAAACACATGCACGCTTTGGGGGTGGCCGTGATGGCTAAAGAGGGTGGTGACCCATCTGACCGCCGCAATCTTCCCTTAGTCCAATTGCCCCCCAACGTCTACCAGAACTATGACGAGCCGGAGGAGGAGGACCCCTATAGGTACGACGTGGGGGGCTACCCCTCTGAGTACTATCAGCCCAACTACCCGGCGCCCCGACCAGTCGCGCCCGAGGACCCTGCCCTGACCCAGGGCGACGAGGTGCTGAGGTCCCCCGGGATCCACCGCTCCTCCAGGAGCCTGGCTGAAGAGGAGGAGGAGAAGAAAGAGGAAGAGGGGCCGGAGGAGAGGAAGATGGTTGGACCCATGAGGAAGGGTAGGCTCAGGAGAGCCTTGCGGAAGTCGGGGACACACGACTGAGGAGTAGGGACTGTTCAGTTAAAGGGAGAAATATCCAAAGGGGGTTCTAAGGACTATCATTAAGTGCCTGATGTCAATGTCAAAGGGACATATGGGAGGGGAAGGGTGGAGGAGGTTGGAGGAGAGAGTGGGAGGGACCATCTTCTTCTCCTTCTCTTCTCTCTGGAAGTGTTGTGGTTGGTGGTGTAGATAGGGTGTGTGTACTGTTGGTTCTAGTGTGGTCCGATTTTTGTGTGTGTAAATCGGTTACTTCAAGAGATACAATTGTATTGTTGTTTTCTTTTCGTTTTCAGCATACCACCTCTGTGATTCATTAATCTAATTTCATGCAATTGATCAATTTCCTGGTCACGGTTTACTTCAAGTGCTTGTTTATGATCTTAGTAAATACTGGAAAAACATAGGCCTACAGTGTAGTGTAGTATATTATAGTTTAGTATATTATAGTAGTAATATTTTAGTTCAATGGTAGCTTGTATTGCTAGGATATTACTCAAGAGTGGATAGCAAGTGCTATTTGAACATTTTGAAAATATAATTGAATATTAACGATCTACTACTTGGTGATATTAGTAGAGAATATAACTACCTATATTGATAACTATCCAACTAACATTATAAATATACTCAATATGACCAGTTATTCTCCAGCTGTTCAAAACTTGACAATTATTATTTATTTTGATGAAATGTCCCATATTGTAATATTTGCATGTGTTTGTTTATCATATAATCATTCCATATCAATTTATAATGCTATTTTGTACCCAGCCATGGGAAACAACATATCAACATAAATATATGCTTTCATATCTTGACAGGGTCATTCAAGCTATCAGCCATATAGCCCAACTAATACCCCCATTGCAGTGTTACGGTACAAACATTTTGCTCTTTGTATTTTTACGATACATGTATGTCTTTAAAGGGTGTTTGAGAAGGTGCTAAACATGTAATATAACAAGATTATTAGTTAAATATGTGAAAAATATATTTCTTTTTTTAATGTATGTTTGTTTTATTGCAAGTGTCTCGGAATATGGTCTCCAGAACGGGAGCGTTCAGCCTACAGTATTGTGATGAGTTGTTAGGCCTGTGGTCTATTCACCTTGCAGAGCTCCAGAGACTAACTATGTGGAACAGGCCACTGTAGCGTCTCTCATCAGAACACGTTTCAATCAAGGAAGTAATTTATTTTTTACTTGGTAGTGATTTTTCAAACAATAAAATTGAAGTACAACCATTATTCACAGTGGGTACTCTCAACACTGCTTCTTTGTTCATATGGATGTTTGTTTTCTCCGACAAGTAATAGCATGCACTTCAATTGAACCAATGGCAGAACTTAAATGACAGATCAGTTATAAGACTTTTCATTACTAAAGGACCCACACAGATGGCAACCCCAAAGCAATGTGTACTTGCTATAGCTGAGAGTCTTCTAGATGACATCATTAATCCTTGTCGTGGTTCTCTCAGCTATCGGCACTTGAAAAGGGATGCACTCACTCACACGCTGAAACTTTGTAAGCAAGCTGTGTGCAATACTTAATTATTTTGAATCCCTGAACCACATAGGTCTTACAACCAAATGAACTGATGCAACTGATGCACACCGAAACGGTGTGAAGCCAGAAACTTTCTTCCTCTGTCTAATTGCTGAGTGAGAGTAGAGTCTGCCTAGCTATCATTTCTGCCGCCTCTCGAGGGAAGATTTAATAACATGATCTGCACCCAGTAAGTCTCCAGGCCAGGTGTTAGATCCCCTGGGGTCACGCTGCTAAGTGGGCCCTAGTGACAGACAGACAGGTGCCCCGTACATAGGTCTGCCTTTTTGCTCCAAGTGGGGGCGAATGAATGATCATTGATGTGGACACCATGAGCTGAATGTGATTGCCACGGTCATGAAAGATACACACCGAAATATGTGCACTTAAGTGTGCAAGGCTTTCAGTAAGTAGTATCTGATGAAATCGCACTCCTCCTCTTCCTCCACCTTCTCCAATCATTCTCTTCCTCCATTTCATTCTCCTGCTTCCCACCAGCCAGCCAGAGCCTAGATTGAGCAACTTGCCCTCAAACCCACCTCAGGGCAAAGCATAATTTCCAAATGATTAGCCCAGCCCGGGCATTTACTACATTTACTATCATTCAAGTGCTCCATAGCCATAGGGGAACCACCACCATGCCTTAAGGAAAACTCTGATTTACCACAGTAGGTGATGACACTTGGCTTTACAGTGGGGCTTTGAGGTCATCAAAAGAAGAGCACAATCACAGAGATAGCACCAAGAGGAGGGCGTCACGCTCCTGGGTGTTCTGTTGTCCCTTGGTGTGAATATCTCCTGCAGCTGCTACTGAAATAAAGGGGGAAATACAGGCCTCCACCATCCCAATAACAAACAGAGGCCTCCACCATCCCAATAACAAGCAAACAGCCCCCTATATACTGTGTGGCAGGTAGATGGTAGATCATTCATCTGGCTATCTATATCTTCCTTTTGGTGGATATAGGTGCAGTTAGTACAGTTTTGGAGGTTGAATGCAAGTGTAGACTACTGCAATGTGCCATTTACAGGCTGTAGTAGTTCAGATAGAAATTCAGAATGCTG